AGCGAGCTGTGGCGTCTGAGCCGCGTGCTGGCCGAGGGGTGGGGCCGGGGAGGGGGGCGGAGCCCCTGCAGGGGTTCCCTGGAGAAACCCGGGTGGACCCCAGGGTGGGACCCCAGGGTGGGACTGCAGAGGCCGGGAGACGTTCTGGGTGTTCCTGGGAGGCTGAGCTGTCAGGCTTCGCCAGGCGGGCTGTGGGCCAAGCTTTGGTTTCTGCCTCGGGGTGAAGGGGGACCCTTTCCTGGGACAGGCGCGCTGGGGGAAGGGCGGCGGGGGGCGGGGAGATTGGGACCAGCAGGCCAGTTTGGGACACGATGAGCCCAGAGCCATCGTCCTGGGCTTCAGGAAGCGGGGTTGAGGCGGCCGCCAGATGTCTAGAGTCCGGCGAGGTCGGGCTGGAGATGACGGAGTTCCCACGTGGGGACGGACGGAAGCCCTGGTGGCCACCGAGATGCCAGGCGGTGGGTGTGGGCAGGGCTGGTCCCACAACGCAGCCGGGGCTGAGTTAGCGTCCCAGCACTGCCATAGCGAATGGCCGCGGGCCTAGTGGCTTCACACACCACGGATTACAGCTCCGCAGTTCAGGGGCCTGGCATGGGTCTCGCCGGATGATAAGCAAGGTGGCGGCACGGCTGGCTCTGGTCCACGGCCTCTGGGGAGAACTTGTGTCCGCGCCTCTCCTCAGCTTCCGGGGGCCGCCTGCACTTCACGGCCCCTTCCTCTGTCTTCAACACCAGTGAAGGCTGGGGGGCCTTTCTCACGCTGCATCGCACTGACTCTGCCGTCCCCCGACCCCGTTCCGCTTTTAAGGACCCTCGTGAAGACACTGGGCCCACCTGGATAGTCCAGTAAAAGCCCCCTAATCTGAAGGCCAGCCGATCATATTAATCTCATCCCTGCCGTGCCAGCAGCGTGACATATGCAGAGGTTCTGTGGCTTAGGGCGCAGACAGCCTCTCACAGGGCACTGCCTGTGGCCCCGAAGTTTGCCTGTGCTCAGCTCTGGGTCCGACTGACATGGAATAAGACCGGGGAAGAGAGGCATCTGGGTCTCTACTCCTAGGTCTCTACCCCAGCCCCGCCCCCCGTGGGCCCCACAGGAGGAAGAGGTCAATGAGCTGTTCTGGTACCTTCTTGTTTCTAGGGGCTGAAGTTCAAAACAGTCCCGACTGTCCACCAGAGCAAATAACAAGTAAACGACGATGCTGTCTGTGTCGCAGGATAGCGTCCCGTCGTGTCAAGTATTGATTTAGAAGGTTTTTAATGACACAGAAAAAATGATTATGTTAAAAGATTTCATGCGGGGGGAGAGAGGGGGAGCATGGCAATGACTTCTTCCCCCCACCCCCCATCTCCCCAAAAAAGGATACAGAGAAAACAGCATGAGGAAAGTGCCCTTGAGCGCTGGGCCCTGGGACGTGCTCGTTACTTTGTCCTCTGCATGTGTCGTTGTCCATGTATTTTAGCTCTGAATTTCAGTTGTGAGTCAGGAATCACGTGCGTGCGGGAAGGGAGAGAGATGGTTTTGTGTACCCCGAAATGTTTGACGTTCTTCGGTGGATGAGAGGTGGATGTCACGGCCCCGCTGCATCATCTGGCTCCCCAGAGGTTCTGAGCAGACAGAGCAGCCGCCCACCGGGGCAGCTGTCACCTGTGCACTTCCTGAGCAGGCGCACCTGCTTAGACTCTGGGCACATAATTGTCACATGCCTGGTGGTGTGCGAGCTGTGTGTGAACCAGCCCACAGACTCCTCTGCAAGAACCGTAACTTTGTTTTCGATGACTCGACGCGACTGTGTTTCTAGCCCCCTCCCGCCCCGGGGCTGCGGTGAACATGACCGCCAGGGCCGTGGTGGCGTCCACCTCTCTGCAGATCCCATTGCGGTTCCAGAAGGCTTTGGCAGGGCCAAGCTATAAAGGGAGGGACATGTGGCTTCTGACCACCACGGGCTTTTGCTACGCCTGGTGGTGCTGGGGTCAGGCCTCGTGCTGAGAAATTTTTGCATAAATACAAAAATTCTGCTTTTCGCGTAAAAGTTCGTAGATGAAGTTGGTCTCCTGCTGTCTTTTCCTACACTCTCTTTGCCCAGTTTTATCAAGATTTTTCTACTCTTGTGAAATGAGCTGGGCCACTTTTTCTCTCTTCCTGGAATAGTTAGTATAATATTTTGAAGTCTTAGTAAAACGGATAGGTGACTCTTTTATTATTGGTTCGTACAGGTTTTCTGTGGAGTTAATTTTGCATTTTAACATTTTCTAGATTGTTTTTCATTTGCAAACTCAGCGTCCGGCCCGGAAACTTTCTCTTTCGTGCCAGCGACAGGACATCACGTCTCTTCCTGGCCTTTACCTTTACAGCTTCCATTTTCCTTTTCCCGTTTCGTTTGCCGTCACTTGCTAGTCGGCGAAACAGCTGGCTCTGCTCCCGATTTCGTTCCTTCTTCGTTCCCGTGAGAAATGAAGCAAACAGCCGATTGCCACTTAGCAGGTGTTGTTTTAAATCAGAACACAAGGAGTTGTTACTTGAGCTAGATGTTTTTAAAGAGACTCGGAGATTCTCACTTGTTCTCTAGGTCTCACTGGCTGAGTGACCACCCGGAGATGGGCGGCCAGGGCATCCATTTCCCAGTAGGTAAGACAGTGGTTTTCCGTTCACTGAGTGAAGGGCGTCTGGGCCGCAGGTGGACGTTCGTGTCCGCTGTTGGACAGGTGAAGAAATAGGCTCAGAAGGGCAGGGACTCACCCAGGCGCCCATCGAGGGCAGAGCTGTGGTGCACAGGCTGCTGCCACCCAGCCCACAGCTTCCTGTCTTTCTCCTAAGCAGTAGAAACCACGGTCTTTTGTCTGCTAGTCTTTATGACAGTGTAACCATGGAAACGACTGTACGCGAGTCCTCAAAATAGACAGTTATTTCTGCTTTTAACAGCACAGAATCTGCCAAAAGGAAGGGCTGGGCCAGAGCACAGAGAGTTCTTAGAATAGGTGGCAATGATGATCGCTGCCCCTCGTGGAGCCCTACTATGTGCTGGGTGAAATAACCACGGCTGACATTTGCCGAGTGCTCGCTGCATCCAGCAGCTGTGCTAAGTTTACATCTCATTAAATCCTCGGAGCTTCTCTATGATGGGGTCTTATTCGTTTTACAAGCCAGGAAACTGAGTGTATTAGTTCCCTGCGGCTGCTCTGACAAATTGCCACACACTTAGTGGCTTAACCGTGGAGCTCAGCTAAAACCCAGGTGTCAGCTGGGCTGTATTCTTTCTAGAAGCTTCAGGGGGAGAATCTGTTTCCTTTCCTTTCCCAGCTTCTAGAGGCTACCTGTGTTTCTCCTCCATCTCCAGTCTCTGCTTCCATCTCCCTCTCCTCCATCACCCTTGACCTTCCTACTCCCCGCTCAGGACACCCTTCGTGGTTACAGTGGCCATTCTGGAGGAACCAGGACAATCTCTGCAGCTCAAGATCCTCAGTCACGTCTAGCAAGCCTTTCGCCACGTGTGGCAATGTATGCCAGGTTCCAAGGATTAGGATGGGGACATCTTGAGGGGCCGTTTTTGTCACCAAATGGAGGCACAGAGAGGTTAAGACACGTTCCCAAGGTCACACAGCGAGGTAGAGCCAGGAAGGAGGCTTTGATCATCACATGCCTGTTAGCCTGTGCTGTTTCTCGCTTCATGTTCACAGAAGCCCTGAAAAGTAGGAAGTCTCGTGGGAACTGTGGGTGAGCCAGGTTCATTTAAAGGGCTTCGGTGGGATCATCCCGGGACTTGCCTTCGGTAATGGATCTGGGATGGAAAAACCAGACCCAGTCACCCTCTGCTGCAGGGGCAGGTGTCTGGGGGCAGAGCCAGGGCCACCTCCCAGCAGAGGGACGGCCAGCGCGAGGCGCTGTGGCCGGATCCTGAGGCCAGTGTGGTGGGAGGAAAAAACGGGGCAGAGGTGGGAGGTGAGGTCAGGGGGCCGCGTGGGTAGGGGCGGGGCCACACCAAGGGGGCGGGGCCCAAAGGAAGGACGCAGCCAAAGCGGGGTTTGGCAGGGCTGGACCCCTCCGCTGCGGAGTGGAGAGTACTCTGCGGGGCGAGAGTGGACATGGGGTCCAGCCGGCAGGCAGGAGAGGAGCCTGGCTGCAGCGGGTGAAGGGGCAGGCTGCGGGGCAGGGACCGAGGTGCGGGCAGATCGTGCAGGGCCAGCGGCCACAGTCGGGGTTGGAGTTCACTTTGTCTGAGGGCGTCCGTCACCTGGTGCTGAGCACGGGACAGTCACAGGCAGAGAATGACAGCTGTCAGCTCTTCGCCGGCGAGTGTTCACGGTGCTCGCCACCGTGTGTGACCCCGTGTTCCTCCCTCTGCATAGCCTCAGCCTTCCCAGTGGCCGGGGGAGGAGGGTCAAGGGCGGGAAGGGGGCTGCTGCCCTAACAGTGGCACTGTGCGGAGCGACGAGGCTCTGGGTACCCGGGGTACCCTGCGGCCCACACTGCCACTCCTCCTCGTCCTGCTGTGTAGACCTCTGCCTTCAGCTCCTCCCAGAGTTGTGCCCACCGGGGCTAGTCCGGGCTTCTCTTGGAGCCGAGGGGGCAGCCTAGACACACACCCGCTCATCATTCCAGTGGATGTCCTTGTACAATATCAGAGCAGAGGAGGGACCTGTTGCCACGGCAACCAAGAGCGGCGACCAGGCAGTTCTCCATCTGCGCCTCGGGCCTGTCTCTTCTTGCCTTCTCCGCCTCCACAGACTGCGGCCCCGACCTCCGCATGTCTGTCTGTTTCCCTCCGGGGCTCGCTGGGCTGCACGACTGTCCCTGAATGTGTGGCCCACGCCAGCGCAGCTCCGCGGCCCAGCCCCCAGCCCCTCGCCCCACCCGATCCACTCGGCCTGCTCAGCCCCCAGCTCCTCACGCTGCCAGCAACGGGAGTGTCACACAGCAGGAGCCACTGAGAGGGACGCGGAGCAAGGACCATGGCTACTCAGAGGCCACTTCCGGTGGGGACAGTTTTCCCTGCTGGGCCTAGAAACTGAGTGGAATTGTATCAGGTTGGGGACAAAGTGTGTCAGGAACGGCACGGAGAAGAGGTGGCACCAGTGGGCAGCACCAGAAGGTTCTGTCTGCTCGGTGAGCAGGGCTGGGCCCTGAGACAGGCGCCGGGCTGGGCGGGGATGCCACAATGCCCGATGACGGGGTCGGTCCCCTGCCCCAAGGGAGCTCACGGCTCCATGAGGTGACCGCGCACCCCTGCTGGTGCCATACAAGAGGGCCCCCTGAGGCTGTACGGGCAACAGGGGTGAGCATTTGATTTCTTTAGAGCATCTGGACAAGAGGTACAGAGAGCTGGATGTTTGATTCGGGGTTCGGAAGGCTGATTAGGAGTTGGTAGGTAAGACGGGCAAAAAATGGGAAAAGAAATTTCAGGGAGAGAAAACAACGTGAAAAAAATGACTATACGAATAGTTCAGCGGTTTTATTGAGCAGTTACTCCAGTCTGTCACTGGGCCGGTGCGCCCAGGTGTCACCTCTGGAAGGCCCATCATGCCGTTCCCCAGCTGAGGGGACTGATGCTCAGAGGGGCTGAGGGCCTCACCTGGGTCACACAGAGCTTTATTCTGCTCCGCTGCCTGATGGCGGGTCGGGGCTGGGATGAAGTGAGTAAGATGCCCAGGGCATGACGTTACAGGAGGCGTTCATTTAAGGCCACCCTGTGAGTGAGTTGTCCAGTGTGGCACCCTAGGAGCCCGTTTGAGGTTCCGAGGCTCTGGCAGGAAAGGGGTTTGGAGTGTGGCTACAGCCTGTTGAGTTTGTGTCTATGGGGTGGGGCAGCCAGCCGGTTGGGGCCTGAGTACAAAGAGCTTGCCGGCCCCATGCAGGAGCTTGAACCGTTCTCCTGTGGGCGCGGGCTCCCAGCCACGCAGGGTTCCAAGCAAAGAAGGATGCCGACGGAGTTGTGTGTGGGGTGTGCGGGGCGGGGAGGGGTCGGCCCCAGCCTCTGGCCTTGCCTTCGTCTCCTTGGACGCACAGGTGCTTCGGAGCCTCGGCTGGGCTCCCTGGGCCCCTTCACTTCACTCTGGTGATGAGGGGGGTGCATCTCACCTGTCCCCCATGTGCGACAGCAGTGACATCATGAGACTCCCAGCACAGACACCGTAGTTGTCAGGGAACCAGCGAAGGACATGAGAGCCTTCATTATGCAGAAGCATTAAAAAGAAATAGGGCAGAGATTTTTGCTGATCCGGGGTCTGCCGGCTTTAAGTGTTAGGGCGGCGGGGAGAGGCGCGTGGGAGCCCATCACCGGTGACAGGGCTCTGGGATGGTTCTTTTAGATTCTTGGCAGCCATGATTACCGTGAAATGTCCTTAGCGATTCCGTCAATCAGGCGGGAGACCCCGATCTCATTAATGCCTGGGGACATGCAGTGTGTGGGGTGGTAGGGGGGCAGGGGCCGATACTGCTGTCATTTGATAAAACATTACCATATCGAAAATTTCATTAAAATGTTTAAAAAGAACTTTTAGGTATAATTTTTTTCAGGCTTGCTATTATCCCTTCCGTTAATCTTTTGCAGCTTTAATCCTTCCGTGCCTTAAAAACCGTCGCACATTGCAGGAATAGCCAGAACTGAGGTTACAGTGGGCCACGTGGTGTCTTATTTTCAACTATCGATTAGATCATCCTCTTGGCCTCTGACCTTTGCGGTTTCCTGGTCCTTGAAGCTGGCGGAAGATGCAGCCCGGGCTCTGTGACATCCAGTGTGGCTGCAGCACTGTGATCTGGTTCGGTCCAGGAGATGTGCAGGGTGCAGGGGTGAAGTGAGCGAGACCAGGCTGAGTGGTTTTAGGTGGAAGCTGGCCAGAGGAAACCACAGAGGCGGGCGGCGGGGTACATGGGCCCCCTCACAGCCGGGGTTGCAAGAGACAGGCCCGCTTTATGTTTTTATAACTCACCTGTTCTGGCCTCTAGCGACAGAAATGGGGCAGTGCCAGGGCCACCTGGGTCCCTGCTGACAGTTCGGGGTCCCTCTTCCCTCAGACCCTCCACTCTGTTCCTCCCACGGATTAGGTCTACACCCCTAATCCCTTCATTAAGAAATCAAGTATTGAACGTTTTTCCTTTACTTCAGGCATCTGAGAGCAAAGGGACATGTCATTGAGCCTTTTTAAATGTAACAAAGAAAAATTACGAACATTTATACCTTCGTAATGTCGGTGTGATTATTACCAGGGCCCGAAACCTGATCTCGTGAGATGACCGATCAGAATTCAGAGGGTCTAGAGGCTAAAGGTGACCCCCAGGAGGTCTCCTGAGGGGAAACCCACACCCTGCCATGCTCTCTCCTCAAGCCCTCGAGGGGCCCCCACGGCCTGTGGGGTGACCCCTTCCCTGGCTTACGGCGCCTCGCTGGCGGCTTTCTCTGTCCACACGGCCTTCAGCCCGACCCTGCCTCAGGGCCTGTGCACGTGCCGCCCCTCCGCCAGGCGTGCGCCTCTCCTGGTGGCTGCAGTCCCCTCCCCTCGCTCCATTCAGCTCCCTGCTCCCTGTCTCAGGCCTGGAGGCTCAGAACTGGCCAGCGGGCCTGGCAGCCACTCGGCTGGTTTCCATGGGGACAGCTGGGCAGTTGTCAGATGTTTGAGTTCTTCCGTACTGGCTGGTCAGTGGCTGCCAGCCTACCACCGTATCTTCGTCCCTGACCCCCAGGCCAGTCCGGGGCCCAGGTCCTGTAGCTAATGCTTGCCTAGCACGGACCCTAGTCCTCACCCTGTTCTAGCGCCAGGACCTGGTCAGCCAGTGAGGGCGCTGGTGAGCAGACTGGTGGGACAGCCAGCAACGCACCTGAGTTTGGAAGAGCCTGCCCTGATGCGTGGGAACCTCCATGTGTCAGGAAGGCCTGGCTATTAGGGACAGTGGGGAGGGGACCCCACTCACTGCCCACTGTGTCCCAGACGGGGATCATCCAGTAGGGCCAGCAGCCTGTCACCTTCAGGGGCCAGGTAAGCAACTTCCTGTGTGGAGCAGCTGGTCTGAGATAATAGGAGGTGGGTGGTAGGTGACAAACGGGACCCAAGCCCCATCTGTGGCAGCGATATTCGATTTTGCTACATGATTCCCACCCCCGTCCCCGTCCCCCCTCCTCCCGGCAGCCAAACAGAACGCACCTGCGAGCCGGGCTCAGCCGTGAGTGCCCAGTGGCTCGTGATCACAGGGCCCAAGGCCAGTTGGAGCCACAGCAGCGCCCCGCCTATGGCAGGGCGTGGTCCAGCACATTCCAGAATGTCACACGTGCGGCTCTCAGCATCACCGCTAGGAGGCAGTAGTGTGCAGCGCAGCCAGTGCAGCTGTGCGTTCAAACGCCGACTCCACCGCGGTTTCCCGCTCCGAGACCTCGGGCGCGGTTCTCAGCCATCTGTGGCTCCGTGTCCCTGCCTGTGAAGTGGGGATAATACCACGATTTTTATTGGGGGAGCAGGTGCAGTCCTGCAGGGAACGGGCTCAGCACAGACTCGGGCTCGGAGCAGATGCTCAATGAACGTGGCTGGTTCTGCCCTCTTTGCAGGATCCGTTCGGGCGCAATGCCTGACGGGTACTGAGTTATAGGTTTGACGAATGAATGAATGATACACAGCGTGCGCCCGGGGTGGAAACGACGGGGTGTCGTTCCGACCCTGTGGGCGGGAGCGGCCCAGTGACAGCCGGCATTTCTCTGTCCCCGCAGTCTTCGAGGAGCCCGAGGACCCCAGTAACCGTTCCTTCTTCTCGGAAATCACCTCCTCCGTGTCCGACGTGAAGTTCAGCCATAGCGGCCGGTACATGCTCACCCGGGACTACCTCACGGTCAAGGTCTGGGACCTGAACATGGAGGCGAGGCCCATCGAGACCTACCAGGTGAGCCGCGGCCGGGAGGCCCCGTGCTCCACCCCACCACCACCACCATGAGGGGCTTTCCCACCTACTGGGTGGCTTTCCTGTGCCCATTTTGTCGTGAGGACACTGAGGCCCAGGGCGTCAGACAGACGCAGCTCTGCCAAGGGCAGGCACAGCCCTGCCTTACAGGAAGCCTGAGTGTCCTCTGCTTGCTGGCCCCCAATAAATGGCAGGGCTGTGACTGGCGTGCAGTCTGGGGCCCAGGGGACAAGGCAAGCATCAGGCTAGGCCAGGTTTGAGGGTACAGATGATTAGGGGTGCAGACGACGGCCCCCCTGCCAGGAGCTAGCGTCTGCAGCCCTGCTACCAGGGCGATGAGCTTTGTCTCCTCCAGGGAGGGTCTTTAGTGCACCAAGTGGTGAAACGGGAGTGGCGTACATTTCTAAGTCCTTGGCACGGGCCTTTCAAGCCAGGCCTGTCGGATGAAGCACGAGGCACCTTCCCGGAAAATTGTTATTATTTATTGTTTTTCTGTTACGATCCATCCATGGGATGTTAAAATAAAACAGGGACTTGAAAGAAATGTGAGACTGCTTTCAAGTTGCTTTAAAGCGGTTTCCAGTTATGTCTTTAGTGGGGAGATCAGGGAGGCTTCTTGGAGGAGGTGACGTTTGCGCTGCACTTGTAGGATGAGGAGGATATGGCTAAGCAGATGTGAGTGGGAAAGCACCGCCCACCAAGCCCTAGCCAGGTCCTCATGGTGTCACCATGTATTAGGAGCACATGGAGTTCCACACGCTTGACCTCTGTCACCTCTACTCCTACTGCCCCTGTAAAAGGGGTGTCCTCAGCCCCCCTGGGCGGAGAGGGCACTGGTGCTGAGAGCTGAGGGCGTGTGGGAGCTGCCTCACAGCTGGGTAGTGACAGACTCAGAGCCCACATGGGACCCCTACACCTTCCCTGCCTTTCTTCCTTGCCAAAGCCGGGGTAGGGCAGTGCCCTGGGAGGCAGAAGGGGTCCCACTGGGAAGGGACACAGAGCCGAGGGGAGAGAAGGGTGTGCTCCCGGAAGCCACGTGCCCACAAGGACGTCTGGCGTGGTTCTGTGTCATTTCCCACCTTCCCTCAGCTTTACCTCCTTCCTTGGCATGGATTCACGAGCAGGCCACCGCAGCTCCTCGTGACAACCCGTGTTAGCCGCGGGTGCTTGCGGGGTGCAGGCACGAGCCATCTGGGGGGAGGGCGTTCCCGGGGGTGGGACAGCTGCGGCAGGGACAGGGTTCGTACGCTGGGCCGTGAGCACGGGTTAGAGAAGAAGAGCCCGAGGTCCGAGTGCAGATGGGGCAGAGCCAGGGAGACTTGCGGGCGCTGCGGGGTCTGAGCAGAGAGGAGACGGGATCCAGCTTAGTTTCAGGGGGATCCCTCTGACTGGGCTGGGGCGCAGGCAGACACAGGGCAGCAGGGAGGAGGCGTTTGCACCCAGCTGGGGTGTGGCGCTTTGGAAGGGCTGTTCCCCCTCCACTTCCCTCCGTGCTGTGGCCGCTGTGCCCTGGTGACTGTGGCCGCAGTGCCCTGGGACTGTTTCCTCCTCGGAGGGCATGACCCTACAGCAAGCGGTGTCCACCCCTTCGTGGGGAGGCCGGGGCTGCCAGGCGCCCCTCGACTCACCCCCGCCCCCTCTCGCCTCAGGTCCACGATTACCTTCGGAGCAAGCTCTGTTCCCTCTATGAGAACGACTGTATTTTCGACAAGTTCGAGTGTGCCTGGAACGGGAGCGACAGGTAACCTTCAGACCGGGGCGCCCTCCCTGCCTACCTGGGGAGCGCACCGCCCGGTGGGGCCTCAGCTGGGGACCCGGGCAGATGCTTCCCGGGGCGTTCACTGTTGATCAGCCCCAGTAAGTCAAAGCGTTTGAAAGGGGCCCACATTTCTCATAGCAGGCAGGAGCGCTCGGCTCCCAAACGCAAGGACGGGAAGCAGCTTCACGTTCCGTAGGCTCGCCCAGCGTCCATTTGGAGCCCTCGCTCTCCACACGGGCCCCTCCCTGGGTTGGCGGGGCCTCCACGGGGCAGACAGCTGTAGCCACTGAAGTCTCCCACCCCTCCTCCTGCCGTGGGTGCTGCAGCCACCTCTTCCTAGCGGCACCCCCACTTCAGGCCCACCCAGTTGCTGCCTCTCACGGCCTCGCCCACCTGGGAAGTGACCTTGAGTCTGCCGTGAGTCCCTGGTCCCCCATCACCCTTGTACTGGACAAGGACGGCCCAGTACAGGGGCCCGGGTGACGGGACACTGCACGGAGAAGGCCACACACTGGCCAGTATATCGGAATGTTGCACATCACATTTTCACAATTGGATCCATCTTGGTGTCCAGGGTGGCATGTGCAGTGAGAGCTGGCAGTGTTCTCCTCGGTGGCCACCCTGGGGGTGTGTCATCCACGTGAACCCTATTCGTCATGCGCGTCTCCCCAGGTTCTGAGGGGGGCCAGCACTGCTTTGGTGGTGTAAGAACTTCCGTGCCATGACCCTATGTGGCTTTGGCTACAGGCGCGTGGGGACCGTAAGGGTAGGTGGGCTCAGGGAGAAGGGGCCCCGAAACCGTCAGGCAGGACCAGGAGGGAGCCACCTAGAAGCAGGGGGCTCCAAGTGGGGTAAAGCTGCTGTGCCCACAGAGGGGGATCCCCTAGAGAAGAACCCCAGATACTCTCAGGTACCCCTGAGCTGCAGGCTTTGACGCACTGGGGGGCTCCTTGCCAAACACTGCCAGGGGGATGCGGGTTCTGTTCCTCCACTGCCTGCCCTTCCTCCATATTGCCACGAGGGGGCGCCCGTGAACAGGCGATGCCTGCCTCCCGGGGACTGGAGACCAAGCTGGTGTTGCTGCCTGGTGCCCAGCCTGGAGCTGAGCCGCCCTGCCTCTCGCCAGCCACTTCCTGCCATGCCCTTTGCACACCAGCCTTCCCCGGCCCTGGTGGTCTCCACCACCCCCTTACTGTTTCCCTCTGCACACCCCACCGTGCTCCCGCCCGCTGGAACCCGGCTCACCCGCTCACCGTGCTCCCGCCCGCTGGAACCCGCCCGCACTGCACGCGGCTCACTCTTCCTTTCCCTGGGCTTTGCTGACTCAGTTCCGGGGCAGCCCTGGCCGGGGCAGAGGTTGCTGGGAGAGGTCTGACGAGGGAGGCCTGGGTGGCCCCGGCTCTCCCTGGGGGAGGGGGAGGATCTGCGAATCCACCCTCTCTTGCTGCTGCCTCAGCAATGTCACCCCAGTGTCCCAAAGCCGGGCACAGAGGGTGATCAGGAAGGACAGAGGAAGGAGGGAAAGCAGGACCCCCTCTGACACGCAGGCATCTGGCTCCGTCAGCACTGACCACCTGTGCTTAATGCCCTGTGGGATTCCGGCGGGGGTGGGCGGCGGGGGGAGTCGTCCTGTGACCCTGACAGCCTGACACCAGTGGACACCTGTCAGGGCCACAGTCACGTCCCCCCTTGTTATCTGCTGAAGGCCGGCCTGACGGGGTTGCTGCCCTGGGTCAGGAGGTCAGAGTTCATCCCAGCTTCTCTCTCCCTGTCCCCGTCCCCGTCCCCGTCCCCATGCCTCAGGAGCATCTCACCCTCCTGTAGCCCTTTGCACACTGTTCTCCTACCCCTGGGGGAGCTGTTCCCCTCTGTCACCTCCTGGGCTGCATGGGATCAATGTGACAATGCATAGGCCACAGTCGTCCGAGCGTCCACTCATTGCCAGAGCTGACCCTAAGCCACCTGCCCCCCTAACTCCCTCAGCCTTGGGACACTTTGGGACTGGGTGGCGAGGTGGCCCCTCTTGCCCCACCCCTCAGTCTTGGCTGCCGCCCTGACTTCACCTGGCCCCCGCTGA